CCCCAATTTTCTCGTCGTCCTCGCAATTTCAGGACAAAACCCCCTAGCCCCACAAGAGTTGAATCCACATCCCTTACCCTTCTCTTTCTACTTCTATAAAAACACGAACTATTGATTCGTGTATAATATCTCTACTTTGTGCTTGTGCTCCCAGTGACAGAGAGTTAAGATGAGGATCGATACACCGACCATGATGATGAATACGGGAGGAGTGGGCAACATGTTCGCTCACCTGGGGTCGGTGATCGCCGGCATGATGTTCTCATGGGCGATCCTGAAGCAGTTCCTGCCTCACGATCTCCGGGCCTACCTCGAGAGGTACTCGCAACGCTTCTTCTGCTACATTTCCCCCTACATCCAGATCTCCTTTGATGAGTACACGGGGGAGCAGCTCATGCGCAGCGAGGCCTACTCGGCCATCCAGAACTACCTCAGCTCGCGCTCTGCCACGCAGGCCAAGCGGCTCAAGGCCGACCTGGTCAAGAACAACCAGTCCCTGGTGATAAGCATGGACGACCATGAGGAGGTCTCCGACGAGTACAACGGCACTAAGCTCTGGTGGGCTTCTGGCAAGAGAGGATCGAAGACGCAGACGGTCTCTTTCCACACCTCTGTGGTCGCCGAAAGCGGGTACTAGTTACATTCACTCCATTTTGCTTGGGTATGCATTGTCGCGTGTGTCTCTGTTTGGTCTCTCCTCTAACAATTTGGTTGGCTATATCATGAAGGTATTACAAGCTGACCTTCCACAGGACGCACAGGGACCTCATGCTCGGGCCATACCTGAGCCACGTCCTGAAACAGGGCAACGAGATCAGGTTCCAGAACCGGCAGCGGAAGCTCTACACGAACAATGGCTGGTGCTGGACCCACGTCGTGTTCGAGCACCCAGCTACTTTCAACACCCTTGCCATGGACCCCGGCGAGAAGCAAGATATCATCGACGACCTCATCACCTTCAGCAAGAATGAGGAGTTCTATGCGCGAATCGGCAGGGCCTGGAAGCGTGGGTACTTGCTGTTCGGTCCGCCTGGGACCGGCAAGTCGACAATGATCGCTGCGATGGCTAACCTCCTGAATTACGACATCTACGACCTCGAGCTCACTGCGGTGGAGGACAACACGTCGCTGAGGAGGCTCCTGATCGAGACGTCAAGCAAGTCGATCATCGTGATCGAGGACATCGACTGCTCGCTGGAGCTGACGGGCCAGAGGAAGAAGAAGGAGAAAGTGGAGAAGGTCAAGGATGACGAGGTCAGAGACCCGGGGAAGCGGGCAGCGAAGGATCTGGATCTGGACGGCGAGAAGGCAAGCAGGGTCACGCTCTCGGGGCTCCTGAACTTCATCGACGGCCTGTGGTCGTCGTGCGGCGGAGAGAGGCTGCTCGTCTTCACGACGAACCACATCGAGAAGCTCGACCCAGCGCTGATAAGGGCGGGCCGGATGGACAAGCACGTGGAGCTATCGTATTGCAGGTCCGAGGCGTTCAAGGTCCTGGCCAAGAACTACCTGGGCATCGATACCCACCACCTGTTCGACCATATTGGGAAGCTATTGAGCGAGGTCGACCTGTCGCCCGCCGACGTGGCGGAGCACCTGATGCCCAAGAGTTCTTCCAAGAATGCCGAAGTTTGCTTGGAGAGCCTGATCGGGGCGCTCGAGAAGGCGAAGATGGAGGGCGGGTCGAGAGCGAAGGAAGCAGAGTTGAAGGGTGAAGAGAGCATCGAGGAAGTGAAGGTGGAAACAAAAGAATGAGCAAAATCAGAGGACCGAGCTCATTTAGCAAGAATTGATATGATTTTCTTTTGCATTTCCTTCCAGTTCCAATTGCTTGTCCAATGAAAAAGAAGAGCTAGTCTTAGCCAGGTTGCGAGCCTTAAGTTCTAGTTGAGAGGCTAGCGAGAATTTATTCTTGCACTATGCCCCAACTCAATTGTTCAGAAAGGTTTTTGTAATGTCCAACGGAATTCCCTGCCTCATATATGTTTATTACATTCTTAGAACTGTCGAATCAAGTGTAGAGATTAGGGGCCACGACTATGCAATCAGTCCACTTCGGCTAAAATTCTCATCTGTTTCTGCTCGACATTATTTGGGTACTTTCGGCCGAGGGACATCATTCAGGATCCAGCAAGCAAAGTGACCCATAGATATACATGTGTTTTAGATACCTTACCCTATCTCCCTACCGTTGGCCACCAGACAAAGAAGGTATCTCAGTTTATCAAAGGAAAGAAACATGAGAGAGACAAGAGAGGATAGTAAAGACTCGGCCTCTGGGCTAGAAGAGACCAGCACAAGTCCAAAAGGCCTCAAGTCCCAAAACAACAGTGGAGTAATCTTTGATTTTGATAAAAAAAAAATGAGAAGAAATCCGAACCAAACTGAATCATTGTCAACGCCCGGCTCATGCAGTACAGTTGAGTAAGATGCATATGGAGTGGGCTCTGGTGCAGCCTCTGGGCTCAATTGGATGGACATCATTTTACTTCTCACTAAACTTTCATAGACGCTAAGGAGGTCATTACTTGGGCTAGTTGAAATTTTCTTTTTTTTATGGGGTTTATTTAAGGAGGCAATAGCCTAAGCCTGTCACTAGGTTTGTATGATAGACACATAACTATATCTGCCATCACTTTTGGGTCGTTCATATATATATATATATTAAGATCGTCACATTGAAATTTGGTGCAGGAAGTAAAGGTCCTGAGCTGGCTTAGAAATATGCGACTTAGCCACAATTGTAACAAGGCACAATCGAAAAGAAAAAGAAAAGAAAAGTAAGTTCCCCGTTTGTTATGGATGCATAAGTGGTAAGGCCATGACATAATGTGGATCTTTAAGGAATTTCACCATTCATGATTTGGAACACAAATCATTTTAATTAAAAAAAATTAATGACTAAAACTTCGATCCCGGGATTGGCATAACTGGTTCAAGCAAAAGGGGATTTCCGGTCCTTGAACTAGAGATCGCTTGTTCAAATCTCGTCAATTGAGTGCAAAAAGCTAAAGGTCTATACTGAACCATTCATAGGGTTTACAGGGTCTTCAAATAGTCGGATCTCTGCGCTTGCTCCCCTGGCTTATTCAACAAAAGACGATAAATTCCGTGTCTTGGGAATTAACCTTGGGCTCAAACAAATTAAACCGCGAACAATATCACGCGCGGAATGGAACACGCAACATTAATCTCCTTCCCTATTTGACGTGATTGATTTACATTCTTACATTCTACTAGAAAGGTCGGGTCAACAGCCGATTTGAGCACAATTGTCTTTCACATTGCACGGGTTTGTCAGAGGCATGCAGAGAAAATTATGCCCTTGTCTGTTGGCCCGCCTTGACCTATGTATGTCCGGAGCTTGTGCTGCGGTAAGATTGGACCATCTTGACCTCGTCATATGCCCAAAAGTTTCCTAAAAGCACATCAATCATCCTCCTAGTGGAGCTTCTAGATCGGTATCCCACATCAGAATAAAAACCCTATCTGCTGCTTCCACCTCACATATCAATGGTGCTGGACGTGTGGGAGATTACAGTATCCTCCGTGAAAATTGAAGCCGATCCCTAGATTCATCTGAAACTGAAGACCAAGGTACAAGTCTGCTGATCAACCTCTTCTGCTCGAATCTTCCGGCGAATGACACGGGGGGTTCTATGGGTTGTCAATTCGTTCGACTAGGAAGTATCAGCTCGAGTAACAGGCTGTCCGGGACCAGTAAGTTGGCATATCTTTTGTTCTGGAAGGTTGTTGACCTCGTCTGTTCAACCTACGTGCATGGATTCTTCGTTCAGACACGAGACATCTCTGTCTCCGTTTCCACACAACAGCCTTCTGTTCACATTTGGTGGAGTCAATGGTCTTCGTTGACTCGTCGCCACTACACATATTCAATGCATGATCTTGCAGGGAATAGGAATCTTGAACTATTAAAAGAAATTATGCGGATGTTCTCAGCTAATTAAGGTTAAGCGTACAGCCGGGGCAGAATAAAATCCTAAAGATAAAGGTCAGTCTGCCGTATTAGTTATAACTTATATCCTGTCACTATACTAATTTAAGTGCTTGGCTGCCCAATTCAATTCATAGTTCAAAGTCCAAGGTTTTGACAACCAGCTAGCATCCTTCTGTCTTTGTTCGAAAGCGTTGACCAGGCTGATCCAGAGGAGGCATTATGCAAAGTCGTCTGTGACGTGGGCACCTCTCACTGGGTAAGAAATTATTTGTGCATAAAACACCCTGCACGACAAACAACTTGATCATAAAACGCAAGTTGAAACCGATTAAAAAAACAGAGATTTGCGAAAGACTTGTTACTAGATATCGGTGAGCTAGCAAGATCGATCCGCGTGATCTCTTAAGAAAACTACATAGCATCGGTGTTTATGGCTTTTATACACGTTGGTTATCAAATTTTTCCTCAACCGATGTGATATATCGTTAATATGGATGGAGGTAAGCTTATGAGTCACGACATTAACCGAACTTTATAAAAGAGAATTTATTGAGTCAAGACGTAACTCTTATACTTGTCCGGTAACGGTAAATATATATATTATAGGTCGCACGAGCAACACACCTCTTTACTATAGTCGAGTATATGTAGTCACTAATGAAGTCTAGTTGAAGTAGTTACTAACGTGTCCAAGGCTAGTCCAATTGAATCTAACTAAAACTACTTAAAATCCAAATATTAATGGAAAGAAAACCTATAATTTGATTGTAGCACAGTATCTTAGCTCTTAATAATGGGAACATGCATTAATTAAAGAAAATACTTTTAAATATGAGATGGAAGTTGTTAGAGAAGGAGGGAGTAGACTCATAACGACATAACCTTATTCAATGTACACCTCGAAAACGTGACTTTTAATCGAACTGAGTCTTTCCTCACGTGGAATTTCTTTTTCTAACGATGAAAAGACATTGAACCAATTACAGTGTTGGAGGACCAAAAAAATTTTAAGAAGAAAACCCTAACTGTAGCTATTAATACAGGTGGCAAGAGATGTGTGTTCTCCGCATGATTGAAGAAGAAGAAGAAGAAGAAGAAAGAAAATGGAGTTTGAGGGGCTCCTGTCGCAGGAGAGATAGCGCCTGCAATGCATAACGCAGGCGCCATCCTTCTGCGGCATGAACCCCTTCAACTCCTTCATCCATTCATGTTTTTTTTCTATTTTCGCCACTCTAATTTTCCATCACCCCGATTTTTTGTTTTTCTTCTGTGATTTAGTCAGTAATCGGCGTATACCAACAGAAGAGTTTTGAGTTGCTGCTGTTGGTTTGGTCGTTGTCGTCGTCTCCTTCAACGAGTCGCTTTGTTCATCGCTCTCTTCTCATCTTGTTTCGTGTAGCAACAACGTAAGCATCTCTCTGTAAGTGCTCTTTTCCCCTTGTTTCTTCACTTCCTATCTTGTAATTCGCACGCAAGATCGTATCTCATCAGAACCAAAACCAAAGCTCCAGACGTGGGTCTCTGATTTCCTCTCCATGTTGAGTTGCTGCTGTTGGTTTCGTCATCGTCTTCGTCTTCGTCTCTTTCAATGAGTCGCTTTGTTCATGGCTCTCTTCTCATCTTGTTTCGTGTAGCAACAACGAAAGCGTCTGTCTGTAAGTGCTCTTTTCCCTTCGTTTCTTCGCTTCCTGTCTGTATTTCACACGCAGGATCGTATCTCATCAGAACCAAAACCAAAGCACCAGACGTGGGTCTCTGTTTTCCTCTACATGTTGAGTTGCTGCTGTTGGTTTAGTGGTCGTCGTCGTCTCCTTCAACGAGTCGCTTTGTTCATGGCTCTCTTCTCATCCTGTTTCGTGTAGCGACGATGTAAGCGTCTCTCTGTAAGTGCTCTTTTCCCCTTGTTTCTTCGTTTCCTGTCTTGTATTTCGCACGCAAGATCGTATCTCATCAGAACCAAAACCAAAGCTCCAGCCGTGGGTCTCTGTTTTCCTCTCCATGTTGAGATGCTGCTGTTGGTTTGGTCGTCGTCGTCGTCTCCTTCAACGAGTCGCTTTGTTCATGGGTCTCTCCCCATCCTGTTTCGTGTCGCGACAATGTAAGCGTCTCTCCGTAAGTGCACTTTTCCCCTTGTTTCTTCACTTCCCTGTCTGTATCTCGCACGCAAGATCGTATCTCATCAGAACCAAAACCAAAGCCCCAGACGTGGGTCTCTAGATTTCCTCTCCATGTTCTTTGCCGTTCAAGAACTCGAATGCGAAAGGGATGATGATGATGATGTTTGGCTTCTCTTTGACAGAAAAAAGGATTAGGTTTTATGGCATGCGTCCATCAGAATTCTGAGCACAGCTTCAAAGGATCCAATACTTTGAGGCCTGAGAATCAGGTGAGGAAGAAGAAGAAGAAGAAGATGCCCTCGTTGACCCGTCATCGTCGTGCCGACAATGAAACGGTAGTGTTTGATTACTATTCTTTTTTATCACGCAATAATATTTGATATATATGTCGTCAATTATAGTGTCAGTGTCTACCCTGACGTAAGAGAGAGATAACGTCGTCATTCCTCGTATTTTGTGGTGCAAAACTGCAAAGGTTCTGTCCAGCTAAGCGTTGACAATGACGTGTTGATTTCCCACAAAACTGGTAGATAGGGTGGTAGGTAGACTAGACATATCAACAACTATGTTAATAGCTTTTCCTAATATTTACCTAATAATTTACTCCGCACGTGTCCACTTGCAAATTTCTCTTTTTAATGTTCTAATGTTCCCATTTGTTGTTTTTCAATGATAATTCTTTTGACACTAGCACTTTTGCACAAAAACAAATGTTTGCAGACACCAGTATTTAAAATAGCTTTTCCTAATTTCATGTGCCTAGGAGAATTTATCTATTAATTTACTAAGCACTTGCTCATAAAAAAAAATTACTAATCACTTGTTCCTCCTACACGCAAATTTCTTTTATATTCTAATGTTCCATTTATGTTCTTCAACGATTATTCTAATTTCCTTTCACACTAGCATCTTGCACAAAACAAAACAAAAATCCAATACTAGATTGTGAAAGTCATATGTAGTTTCCAGGCGGGAACGGTTTAAAAGCTGGCGCTCGCCGTATGTATTTTAAAGTAATTTTTACAATTTTCATGTGAAAATCTTTATATCTCCGTTGATTCGGCAGGATCCGGTGAGTCTGATGCGCAATCGAAGTATGAAACGATTTTCGATCGGAGATGGCTATTTTTGACTTGTCCAAGATCGAGGAAGCGCCATCTTACTCTTGGAGAAACTTTTTGAAAATTCAACTGAAAGTGACAGAAGGATTCAAGTCGTTGTCGAATATTCTTGCAGAGCAGGAAGTAACGAAAAGTTCAACCTAGTGTGCAATGTGGGGGGGAGGGTTTGTGAAAACCTTGTTTTAGTAAGGTTTTAATATAATTGTTTGAAAGTTGGGCACCTTTTGAGGTGTCTAAACATTATTATGGCATGGAAAAGCAGGAGAAGTTATTGCTCAAGCCTATTTTTTCCCCTCTTTCGGTAGACTAAGTCTGCAAGATTGAACAAGTAAATTATTGGTTTGATGTGTACACATTAGACTCCGTCAAAAACACTATCACTATCCCTATAAACATACACATATATGAAAACACATTCATATTAAGGGCTATATATATTTTCTCCATCCTCATGGATGTCTAACTATGCTTCTGTGATTTACAAGTGATGGATATCATCCACGTGTGCTTTTTGGGTGATTATCGTGCGTTAAATTGAGCTGCTTCTACGAAATGCGCGAAACGAGTGCAATATTATACCATGCATACATTTTTTCCATCAATTAGCCGGAGGTTGCTTCCCCTTTTCTTTTCCCTCGCGCCCATCGATTAAGAGACATATATTCAATTTAGTCTTCCGATTGACTGACTTAGTATTTTTCCGAAACTTCTAAGTCTTTGATCCACCTGCCTTGCAATTGCGTGATGAATGACATAGAATTACTAGGAAGGCATCAAGAAATTACCGATTTAATTTTTTTGGCTAAAGATAGTGTGTACATTTTTATATGGTCATACTAAATGAGATCATGAAACCTTTAATTATCAGAGTTTATGAAGACATTAATTTTGAACCATAACACGAATCTGGAGAAGATAATTACTAATTTCCCAAACTTGTTCTTACTTGTAAATCTAGGTTCAACTTGAAAACAAGTCCTAATAAGAACTATAGAAGTGCATCTAGACTGAAACAATTATAATTTCGTGAATTTCTATGAAAATTTCCATCTGTTAACAGGTTACTTCAGGGAACTTCCTAATCAACTTCTTTTGTTAGCCCTCTCGATCAAACACATATACTATGATCAATTTTCTATACTCTTTGTAGTATACCTTCGTCTTTGTTGGATATAATGAAGAATATCTAGTTCCATCGAAACGAATGGGACAACACGTCAACGCTGCTCCCGAATGTCACGCAAAAGAAAAGAAAACAAAAAGGAGTAAAGGGTTTCAGCAACATAATTACTAATCTGCTACTGTTCTCTATGATGATATTTCTCTACTTGTACAACTTTGACTGATTGTAACCCGATTAGTTAATAGGGTGGCTGTGCAAAGTTGATCCTTTCAAGACAAGACATAGATCTAATTAAGAAACTTCGTACCAACTGTAATGCCCATTCAAACCCTTGTGGAACACGGGGGATTAAGTTTCTAATCAATCTACCCCAGCAAAGACCGTCTAAACATCAATGTAACTGCCCCTGAAATTTACATAAAAGACCAACGTATTGCACTTGAACAGCACGCAAACACATGCAGAGAGAGAGAGAGAGAGTTGTGGTCTATGAAGATGAAGCAAAGAGGGTTAAGGAGAGATCATTGAAGAGCGACACTTACATTGAGGTTGGGGAAGTCTCGTCGCAAGTAGAGACGGCACATGCATTGCCTTTTCGTATTACAAGTCATGGCGTGCATGTGCCGTCTTTTCAAAAAAGAAAAAAGAAAAAGTGCCGTCCTTTCCTGCGACAAGATGCCCTACTACCTCCCTCTCTCCATAGTTACGTCCGTATTTGTGCTTGTGGTGGCTCCCAAGTCCTGCTCTCAATCATCACTAGTACCCGTACGAGCATTTGATTCGTACGATCCTATCGAATTCTTTCTTTCATAACCCACTTAGAATACAAATTCAACGCGTGTGATGGCTTTTCGCGGTTCCCTCTCTGTCGATAGTCCTATACCGATCGTCTTTTCTTGTTATTATGCCGGGTGACAATGAAGGACTTGTGAGACTTGAAACACAATGAATTCTGTGTATAGTTGGTTGAGCGATCAAATACTTAGTTGGGATGCGAAATCAACGAATGACGGCAATCCCGGCTCAGTTTAAGCTATTAGGGGGCCATGCCAGCCACCCATTAGCGAACATAAGAGATCGAAAGCATAGACACATTATACTAGAATAATATATTTGGGCTCCTTTTTATTCTTTTAATACTATATTTGTTCCCTTTAGAAATGAATATTTCATTTCAAAAAAGTATTCAGTGGAATCTTTTATTTTGTACCAAAAATTCTTCTAGGATTACTATTGCTTTCTTCTAATCAAGTATATTTTTAGTCCTCCAAGTTTTGTTGTCTGTACAACTTAATCCTCTACTTTTCTTTTGTGCAATTTAAAGTTTCCTTTTTATTAGGGTTAATACCATAAAAAAATTTAAATTGATATATTTGTGACATATTTATCTAAAACTAATTTTTTAACCACCAAAAACCCAAAATGGGTACATCTGTGACAATTTTACCTTCCATTAGTTTCCGTTAAATTTTACCGTCAAATTTCTAAATTGGATGACACGTGGCAGTTGACGGGTGTACCAATTTGGGATTTTTCATCCGTTTGTCACAGATGTACCAATTTATGATTTTCCGTGGTATTAATTCAATTTAACGGAAAGTGAATTTGTCATAAATTTACTAGTTTATGGTTTGTTGTGGTAAAAAAACTAGTTTTGGGTAAATTTGTTGCAGGTGTACCAATTTATAATTTTTCGTTGTAAAAAAATTAGTCTTGGATAAATTAGTCATAAATATATCAATTTGAAATTTTTCGTGGTATTAACCTTTTATTTGTCGGACCAAGGACTTTGTTCATTTACCCTTATTAATGCCATCAAATCGCTGATGTGATATTGCCGATGTGGCCACCATGTAACCCTAATGGTTCATCGACAAGACTGATCAGTGAAAGCATGCATGCCTCCTTCGAGGAAGTATTTTTATGTTGCATAATCATAATTTAATTTTCTAGAAATGGTTTCTTTCCCTTCTTTACATAATTAGTGAAACAGCATGTTGACCTTTTAGGGGTTTAGTACAGATTTTTGCCCCCATTAACGGAGTTTAAGATTCTTGTCTTTCTTTCTCTTTTTGTTTGATTAACCAAGATTCTGCCCGCTTGTGGGGGAGACAAACTAAACTAAAGTGATTTGCATCATTTTACTATGTGACCAGCTTATTATGGAGCATGTCTTTTATGGTAGTTAAATTAGTGGTGCAGCTAAAAACTTCCCACCCAGATAAAGTATGTTTGGAATTTACGCTAGAACCACATTGGTGTCCTCTCGTCTGCCACTTAGATTTATATCAGAATCAAATTTCTGATGGAAAATTAGTACTTACTATTTTCAGTCCCCCTTAACCAAAATCCTAGCTCCCTCACTGTGTGACCTCGATACGATGGGACTCGTAGTACCTGTTGGCAATGGTAATCAATCCATTACACCACGTCATCACTATAACGTGGCGAAACCGCCACCTTCAAGTACTTTTCCCCTACAAATCGTAAGTCAAACTCAAAATCATGTGCTTTTGGGTTAATGTCTGTGTTCAACGAAGTTACTTCTACAAAATTTGTGAAATGAGCGCAATATTATACCATGCACACATTTTCTCTGTCAATTAGCACGAGGTTGCTTCCTCATTGCTTTTCTCTTGCGCATAGACTAAGAGACATATATTCCATTTAGTCTTCCGATTGACTGACTTAAAGTATTTTTCCAGAACTTCTAAGTCATTGATCCACCTACATTGCAATTTCGCTATGGATGCCATAGAATTAATAGGAAGGCATCAAGAAATTAGAAGGTTAATATTTCAGGTGGAAGATAGTGTGTGTATGTATATATAGTGATAGTAAATGTCACGAAAGAATTATAATTTCATGGATTTTTACGAGAATTCCCATTTGTTGACAGATAACTTTAGGGAACTTCTCAATTAACATTTTTTGTTAGCCCTCTCAACCAATCACATATACCATGATCAAATTTTCTGTACTCTTGTAGTATGCCTTGACGAAGGCCCTTTTGAGATCTAAAATTGCCTGTCAGTCTATCGTAGATGAGCAAAGTCTAATGAATTGTCGAAATACATTTGTTTCTGAGCCTACGAAAATGGTCTGAAAATCTCAGGCTCTTGAGTATTGCATAAAGTATTTTCCAATCTATTCTATAGTAAGTTTTTAACATATGAACCTTGACTCCCGTGAAAGACCTTCCCTTTTGTTTCTTTCTCGTAGAGTCTATGATTTCCTGTGCAAGTACATAATCCTCTTGAATATTTCTACCTGGAACAAAAGCGGATTGCTGAGGCGAAATAATACGATCAAGGAACACTTTCAGTCTATTCGCTAGCAGCTTAGAGATGAGTTTGTAACTCACATTAAGCTAACGATGAAATTGTATTAATTGATTTGTATTCCCCTTTATTATGTTTGATTAATAGTCGTCAACTATAATGTCAGTGTCTGTCGTGACGCAAGAGATGGATTAGACATCATTCCTCGTATTTTGTAGTGGAAAGGTTCTCTTTCCAGCTAGGCCCATCGAACAATCTATAAAATAAATCTTTTACAGCTAATCTAGACTCAGTATTAAAAAATATATCTACCTAAATTTCATGTACCTAGGAGGATCTATCTATTAATTTGCTGAGCACTTGTCCTCCTATTCACATATATTTCTTTAATGTTCGAATGATCCCTTTTGTACTTCATTGATTATTCTATTCGCACCAGCACTTTCGATCGCTGATGGTTGTGTCTGGCCCGTGCAAGACCGAGGGAGGGAAGCGCGCCATCTTACGATACTCTTTTGAGAAATTCAAAAGAATGAATTTATTGCTTTGATGTGTGCACACTGGACCACGTCATAAAAGGAAATGGACATTTCCCCATAGCATTTTGCACTGTTTAACTGTATCTGTCTAATTAGTCGTACGATGGGTGTTAAGATACTATGGCCATATTTTCTTCCATTTCTAGTTAGAACAAGCCGTTTTTCTAATTAGATGATTATAAAGATAGACATCACTCACGTACAATTTGAGCCGCAGATAAATATAGGTGGTGTCCATTATTATAACACATTGGTTTGAGACTTCTTCTTACCATGAAGGGAGTAAAACACTGTGTCCATAGTTAATTTCTTTCTGTTTTGTTATTATTCTAATTAATTTCTTGGCAAAATACACAATCACTATCCCTAAAATGTGCACATACATAAAATTACATGTAGATCAAGGGGTGTATATATTTTCTCCTTCTCTTGGAGGTTGAAACCATGCCTCGGATTGGTAATTTACAAGTGATGGATATCATCCACGTGTGCTTTTGGGTCATTGTCGTGGGTTAGACTAAGCGGCTTCCACCAAAATGCATGAAAACGAGTGCAATATCGTACCCTGCGCACATTTTCTCGGCAAATTTACGCGAGGTTGCTTCCGCTTTGCTTTTCTCTAGTGCATTGACTGAGAAACGTATCGTAATACTTAGGGTGCATTTGGTAACAATTCTGTTTTCAAAAATAATTTCTGCTCAGAAATGATTTTTTTTTATTCTGTTTCAGAAAATAATTTCTAAGCATTTAAAAGCATTTGATTATGGACCAAAATTTCCATTCATAGAATAGAAAAAGAACAAAAATGTGTTTGGTAACTACACAAAATTTCTTTTTATTAATAATATTTTAATTTTTTTAATATTTCTTTCTCTTTTTTTCTTTTCTTTTTTTCTTCTTCTCCTTCTTGGCCATAGCCGGCGACCGGCCACAGCCAGGGCTGGCAAGGGCGTCGGGGCCTCGCCGGAGAGGGCGAGGGCAAGGACGAGGGCCCGACCCTCGCTGACTGGATGAGGGCCGTCCTCGCCACTTGCGGCCTGGGCGAGGGCCGCGAGGGTCCGGCCCTCGCCCTCGCCAGCCACAAGCCAGGAAAGAAGAAGAACCGACCACAACCAGGAAGGAAAGAAGAAAAAAAAAATTCTCTTATATTTCTAATTCTTGTTCCCAGAATCAAGAATCAACTTTTTTTTTATTCTTGATTCTATTCCAAAACTGATTTTGGGAACAAATTTGTATTCATGAATAAAAAATTTACCAAATGGATTTTTGTTCTTCTTTTGTTCCCAGGAACAAAAGAATAAAATCAGTCACTATTTGGCAAGTTACCAAATGTACCCTTAGCCTTCGAATTGACTGGTTTAAAGTATTCTTCCAGAACTTCCAAGTCTTTGATCCCGCTTCGTTCCAATTGCGGTGATGGATGCCACAGAATTACAAGGAAGGCATCAAGAAACTAATCGGTTAATATATAGTTATAGTCAATGTCAACATGAACCCAATGAAAAGTAACGTGGAATAATTCTAAGCAACGTGCCAACTCAACTGCCTTCGAGTTACATGGAATAGAAAAATCGAGACAAATAAAAATCTACTCGTAGGATAATAACATATTATTTGTGAGTTACTAAAGGAATGAAAATGGGGCATTTCACCTGGAAAAAACTAAGTTTCGAATTGGAATTCCTTTAAAACTATAATTTAATGGATTTCTACGAAATTTCCCATACGGGTAACTTCAGGAAACTTTCCTAATCAACTTTTTTCATTGACCCTCTCAGCCTAACACATATACCAGGATCAATTTTCTAAAGTCTCGTTTTACCTTCGTCTATGTTGGATAGAAGGAAGAACATTTGGTTCCATCGAATCGAACGGGACAACACTTCAACACTTCTTTGAAATGCCATACAAAACAAAAGACAACGAAAACGGGTAAAGGATTCGACCTTCATCTGCACACGCTTACCCTTGTAAGTTTCAGTTAATTAGAAGAAATTATAGCCTAGTAGATACACCTAAATTAGACAAATCATGGTGAAGTTTTACTAATTTGAACTATAAAAACTGTAAAAGCTACCTATTTACTTTTCTTCGCGGGAAAATTACGAGTCCAATAAGAACCGGATGCAACTATAGGATCACAATATCTATGGTATATGCATGCACGGAAAAACATTACATAGACTTGGTCGAATGTAGACCAACATGATCAAAGTCATTGAATGTATAGACCCCACAGTGAGGCCCACACATTAAATGGTTATGATGACACTGATGTACATAGATTAAGTCTATACAATAACACCTCGTCAATGTCTGCTGTTCTTTATCATGATCTTGCTCTACGTTTACCTTTCTTTGGATTGATTGTAATTTGCAACCCAATTAATTAATGAGCTAGTTGTGCGAGTCCATCCTTTCGACAGAGTCTCATGGGTCGAATTAAGAAACTCCGTACGTACTCTAATGCCCATTCAAACCCTTGTTGAACACGGTGATTGAATTTCTAGTCCCCCAACAAAGACCGTCTCAAGATTCATCCTGTAATTTACAAAGAAGACATGCAGAGAGAGAGAGAGAGAGAGAGAGAGAGAGAGAGAGAGAGAGAGAGAGAGAGAGAGAGAGAGAGAGAGAGAGGGCTGTGGACTACAAATATGAAGAGAGAAGGTCAAGGGGAGACCAGTGAAGAGCGAAACTTGCTTTGAGGTTCGGGGGAGTCCTGTCGCAAGGAGAGACGGCACTTGCGTTGCCTTTTGGTATGTTACAAGTCACGGTGTGCAAGTGCTGTCTTTTCCTGCGACAAGATGCCCTACCACCTTTCTATCTCCATGATCACACCCTTATTTGTGCTTGTGGTGGCTCCCAAGTCCTACTCTCAATTATCACTAGTACTCTTACGAAAATTTGATTCATATATTCCTATTATTTCCTTCTTTTCTAAGTCACTTGAATACCAATTCAATGAGTGTCGCCGATCTTTGCGGTCCTTCCGTGTCTATAGTCCTATACTGATTGTCTTTTCTTGCTTCTTATGTCAGGTGGCGATGAAGGACTAGTGAGACTTGAAACTCGGTGAATCCCATGTTGTTTATAGTTCAAGGAGTTAATTGCGCGTTTGGGATGCAAGATCAACAAATGACGGCGTCCCCTGCTTAGTTCAAGCTATACTAGGAGCCAGGCCAGATACTCATCGGCGGACCTGGAGGTCGAAAGCATAGAAACATTTTGCAACAAGAATTTAGTTGTGCCTTTCTTTTTTTCATTTGATACTATGTTCGTTCTCTTGAGACGTGAATAATTCCATTTCCAGAAAGTATTCATTTTTACTCTCTCTCTCTATACATACATACATACATATAATCTTCCTTTTTGTTTTTTTTGTTTATTTCAATTACGTTGTCATATTAGCGCCACATATAAAACTTCAATCACAATCAGCGAAGCCACTTCAACTGATGTTGTTAATAATGAGAGATGAAGCTAAAAAGTCTTACCCGATGTACATGGATGGGGACAAGGCAGTTTGCCTATATCCATGGGGAATAATCGAGCTATAAGGTTTAAATACTTCATATTTAAAAAGTAAACAAATTGCAAAAGTTCGAGTTCTATAGTGCGCAAGATAAAAAATTCGACATTGCACAAACAACAAACTTAGAATATTAATAATTGTACTGAACGGTGCTTCTTCAAACATGTAGCTTGTCTATGGAAATTCATTACCCACTATGTACAGCGAACATATACAGATGAAGCGTAAACATGTCTATCTGCAAATTATATCATCAGACTACAACCGAATTCTCATTGGCAGTAAAGTTGGGGGTAATCGTCAAAAAGGTTAGGATTGGATTGGTCACCGTACAATAAGTTTATGAATTTTCAGATAATTTTCCTCACAATGTTGCCTCCAGTTTGCTTTTCTCTCACACATCAACCGAGTAACATATATGCCATTTAGCCTTCCAATTGATTGGTTTAAAGTATATTTCCAGAACTTCTGAGTCTTTGATCCACCTACGTCGCAATTGCGTGATGGATGCCATAGAATTACAAGGAAGGTATCAAGAAATTGAAAGGTTGATCTTCTTGGCGGAAGATAGTGTGTATATGTGTGTGTATAGTAAGTGTCAACATGAACCCTTTAACTATCAGAATTTATGATTATGAAGACATTAATTAATCACTAAATAATCCACAACACGGTTCTAGAGAAGATAAATTGCTAATATCCCATACTTATTCACACTTACAAATCTGGGTTAATATTGGATACAAGTCCTAATTAGTACTTTAAGAATTGTACATTGAATGAAACAATTATAATTTCATTTGTGAAATTCCCATCTATTGACAGCTAACTTCAGGGAACTTTCTAATCAGGTTTTTTTTTATGAGCCCTCTCAACCAAGCATATATACCATGATCAAATTTCTGTGCTCTTGTAGTATACGACACATCCTCCGGAATGCCACGCAAAAGCAAAAACAACGAAAACGAGTGAAGGATCCAGCAGCAAAATTACTACTGTTCTCTGTCATGATTTACCTTCTTCTTTTTTGACTGATTGTAACCCAATTACTTAATAAGCGGGTCGTGCAAGTCGATCTTTTCGACACAGACAGGGATCAGATTAAGAAACTTCGTAAGAACTACAATGCCCATTCAAAACCCTTGTTGAACACGGTTATTGAATTTCTCCTCAATCTTCTTCTCCAGCAAAGACCGTCCAAAAGATCGATGTAACTTCCCCTGTAATTTACATAAAACACCAACGTATGGGATACACTCGAACATCACGCAAACACTTGCACCAACGTATGGGATACACTTCAACATCACGCAAACACTTGCACAGAGAGAGAGAGAGAGAGAGAGAGAGAGAGAGAGAGAGAGAGAGAGAGAGAGCTGTTGACTATAAATATGAAGGGAGAGGGCTGAGGAGAGACCATTGCAGAGCGAAACTTACATTGAGGTTGGGGAGTCTTGTCGCAAGGAGAGACGGCACTTGCATTGCCTTTTGGTATTCAATTGATTGTTGTCAAGTCATGGTGTGCAAGGGCCATCTGTTCTTGCGACCAGATGCCCTACTACCTCTCTCTCTCTCTCCATAATCATATCCTTATTATGTGCTTGTGGTTGGCTTGTAAGTCCTACTCTCGATTGTCACTAGCTTTCTCATGAGCATTTGATCCATATAATCCTATTAAATCCTGTCGTTTTTAACCCACTTGAATACCAATTCAATGCGTGCGATGACTTTTCGTGGTTCCCTCTATGTCTCTATTAACTGACTTTTTGTAAATACCATTATTTTTCACAGCACATCGTTATGGAGAGCATGATCTTTATCTGTTTGTGGCCGTTCAGATGATTTAGAAGAAAAGAAAAAAACAGCCAGCAGTTTTGTAGTTTGTTGGAGTGTATTGTTAGGAACTTTTGCAGTTCGGGGATATTTGTCTCCATTTAAAGACTTGCAAGATGATATGTTAAATCGATCGAGAAACTCTAGGGACGAGCGATGCGTGCTCCATTTTATTCAAGAGTGCCGCTCTTGGTAACATTCACATGGTCCGAATTGCTGAAAACCTTCTATGATTTCCTTGCAAATTCATGTGCAAATGAGAATGTTGCTCTTGTGGGTTCGATTTGTTTCAAAATTGCGCACGAGCCATTCACGATTCGATCGACTCTTGTGGCTGTCTTCTGTTTGTTCTTTCTTGCTGGTACCATGATTGGATAAAACACTCAAGGGGCTGGTGGCCACAGAGTTGGAAGTTGTCTTTTTCCTGGGTTTGTGATTCAGAGAGTTTTCCAGCTTCATATCCCCATCCAATTTGAGCCCTTTGGAAGGCTGTTTCTGTTGGAGTTGGCAAATACTTCGGGGACCCTTGTTTCTCACACCGGGTACGCCCACGTGAGCTTAGGGAAACTGAAGTGTTGTCCGACGACATGTGACCCATGCGTGCGAATGCGGGGGTTCGGGGCGCGCCCGACACGGTGCCCCATGGCCGCCTGGCCAAGCCAGGGGTTCGGGGCGCGCCTCGACGGTTGCCCCGCTCGCCGGTGAGCGGGCGGGGGCTCGGGGGCAGTGCCCCCGAAACCTCAACGGGTTTGGGCTGGCCCGTATAGTGCGAGATTAAGAGATTTCATATAGGTTTAGGTTTTGGGCCCGTTTGGGGCATATATATATTGTGCTCGTTTTTCTGATCATTGTAACGAGTTGAGTGGCTCTAAACCGAAAACATAGTGAAATCTCTTTGCAGGACGTAGCCCTAATCGAGGGTGAACCTGGGTAAATTTGTGCATCGTCTATTTTTCTCTGATTTTCTGCGTGATCGTTCTGTTTCGGTTCTCGATACGTCCCTTCAGTTTCTACCTGATTGTTCTCCTCCACCGAACTCTAGATCAAGTGGTAGGGCTTGTGAGGACACACCATTTCCCAGTCTCCTCTCCACAACCCAAACATCCTGCTTTGCCCAATTGATACTTCTAGTGTTTAATATTGCTTTGTTCTAGTTAAGTACATTTACCAAATCCTCATTGGTGATGAAGTTGGGGTAAATCTAAGATGGAACTTTCAAGAGCCAAATTCTATACAAATCGAACTTATAACGGCAACGTGAAATTAGGTGTAAATGCGGGGGTGATCTCAGATATTCTCTCTTCAATATACATTCAATATACATTGCAGAATAGTTGATTACCACATTTTAAGTTGGTCAAAAAGATGAAGAAGCTCTGGAGATGAAGTCAAGTTCAACAAACATACCATTTGGTAAATGAAGACATCAATGCGCAATGGATCTGTCGGTAGAAAGTGAGATGAAGGGTGTGATCACAAAAGAATTAGAAGAATTGACAGTTCATATATAATGAAAAGCAAATAAAAGTACTAAACCAATCTACGCGATTCAACAGCTTATCTATGTCCACGAGCCGAGGACTCAGTTTCATTCAGTTTCATTATCTGGTCAAAGCCGAATTACATGTGAGAATCAGGCAGAAGCTCTCACTACCCAAAGCCCCGTTTAGCAGTAATCACACGAGAACAGATGAGAAGTTGCGAAATTGTTTCTCAAAGTATTTTCCAAAACAAGAAAACCCTAAACAATCTCACCAAGAACAAGAACTCTCTCTCTCACACACCAGTGCAAGTTCTGGTGCGAAACTTGGTGCTGCCATATTCCAGCCGCCGATGGGGCTTCTGGAGGCGACCGCAGAGGTGAAGGCAGCGGCGACGTGCCGGAGAATGCACGGATCTAAGCTCGCCGGACACGGATGATGAATTGAAGCTGCCGACGGGGCTCCTGGGGGTGGACGCAGCGGCGACGCGCCAGAGAATGCAACGGATCTAAGCTCACCGAACACAGGCGATGAATCGAAGCTGCCGACAGGGCTCCTGGAGGTGAAGGTAGCGGCAACGCGCTGGAGAATGCGGCTGATTAGGAGCAAAGGCACGAGAGAAGTGAATTTTGAAAAGAACGAAGATAGAGAGAGAGCGCCTTGTTCGTTCTTGACGAGAGGGAGACCAAAATGTTGAGATGTTAGAGAGTATTTTCAGATCTGTTCCGGTTGGACCCACCGCTGACGTTGCTCCACATGTCACTGGAATATGTTGACGTGGTAGAAGCATGACCACCTAATATTTTCTCGGTGGGACTTTCAATCAGAAGTAAATGGTTTTATTTTGGTTAACTATTCTAGCTAATGGCCGAACCATATGAAAGCACGTCCATCAAGCTCAGTGACCTAGATCTAGATATAAATTTGAGAGTTTCTTATAAGTATTTTCATAGACTAATTATTAAAAGCTTTGCAAGCCTCTTTCGAGAAAGCATTTTATTTCGTGAATTGATTTAATTTTCTGGAAACGGTTTTTGCCCTTTTCCCATAATTAGTGAAACAATGCGTTGATTGATTCCAGAATCGCAGTGTCTTAAATGGTCCGTACACATCAAGTCCATCTTTTTGTGTGCTAAGACTAAGAGTGACTTCTCACCTTTTTTCTGAACTTGCAGATGTTGTCAGATTGTTGTCTTTCCCTCTCTTTGTTGTTTGACTAAGCAAGATTCTCCCTTCTTGCGGGGGAGACAAACTAAGCTAAAGTGATCTGCATCATTTAGTCACAGAGAATGTCTTTTAAGGTAGTTAAATTAATGGTGATGTTAATAACTTGCTCCCCAAGGTAAAGTATGTTTTAGAATGACAATTAAATTTCTTCTCGTTTTCCATTTCGATTTTGGCATTGTCACTGCGTGACGTCGAATATGATCATATTCATACCATATACTGACAGTAATAATTAATTAGTTACACGAGGTCATAGAGGTCACATGATATTACCGTCGTCATGATATACTTTTCCTCATTAAACCGTAAGTCAAACTCAAAACGATATGCTTTTGGCTCATTGTCATATGTGTTAAACTCAGCTACTTCTACAAAATTCATGAAACTGAGTGCTATATCATACCATTCAAACATTTTCTCAATGAATTAGTACGAGGTCGCTTGCTCTTTGCTTTTCTCTCGCTTGTTGACTAAGAAACATGAATTCCATTCAGCCTTCTGATTGACCGGTTTAAAGTACTTTTTTAAGGAACTTCAAAGTCTTTGATCCACCTACGTTGCAATTACATGATGGTTGCCATAGAATTGCAAGGAAGGCATCAAGAAATTACCAATTTGATGTTTTAGGTGGAAGATAGTGTGTATATTTCTATATGGTAATACTAAATGAGATCATGAACGCTTTAATTATCAGAGTTAATGAAGACATTAATCTCAATCCATAACACGAATCCAGAGAAGATAATTGCTAATTTCCCAAAATCATTCTTGCTTGTAATCTATATTCATCTTGAATACAAGTCCTAATTAGAAACTTTAGAAGTGTATGTGGACTTAAACAATTACAATATCATGAATATTTACGAAAATTCCCATCTTTTGACAGGTAACTTCAGAGAACTTCCTAATCAACTTTTTTTTATTAGCCCTCTCGACCAAACACATATACTATGATCAATTTTCTGAACTCTTTGTAGTATACCTTCGTCTCAGTTGGATATAAGGAAGAATACTTGGCTCCATCGCAACGAATGGGACAGCGCGTCAACGCTTCCCCGAAATGTCACGCCAAAGAAAAGACAACGAAAATGAGCAAAGGATTCAACAAAATAATTACTCTTGTTTACTATGATGATCTTTCTCTACTTTTACCTTTTTTTAACTGATTGTAACCCAATTAGTTACTAGGATGGTTGTGCAAGTTGATCCTTTCAACACAAGACATGGATCTGACTAAGAAACTTCGCACCGACTGTAATGCCCATTCAAACCCTTGTCGAACACGGTGATCAAGTCTCTAGTCAATCTTCCCCAGCAAAGACCGTCCATAGATTAACGTAACTTCCACTGTAATTTACGGAAGAGAGAGAGAGAGAGAGAGTTGTGGTCTATAAAGATGAAGAGAAAGGGTTAAGGAGAGATCATTGAAAAGCGAAACTTGCATTGAGGTTGGGGGAGTCTTGTCGCAAGGAGAGACGGCACATGCATTGCCTTTTTGTTATCACAAGTCATGGCGTGCAAGTGCTGTCTTTTCCTGCGACAAGATGCCCTACAAACTCTCTCTCTCTCTCTCTCTCTCTCTCCAAAATCACATCCTTACTTTGTGCTTGTGGTGGCTACCAAGTGCCACTCTCGATTAGCACTAGCGTTCTTATAAGCATTTGATTCATATTATCATTTATCAAATCTTCTCTTTTCTAACCCGCTCGAATACTAGATCGATGAGTATGGTGACTTTTCGTGGTTCCCTCTATGTTGATGAGTCATATAATATTTGTCTTTCCTTGTTTCTTATGCTAGGTAGCGATGAAGGACTTGGGAGACTTAAAGCCTGGTGGATCGTATAGCTCGAGGAGTTGATGGACTGATTGAGCGCTTGATTGGGATGTGTAATCAGCAAATGATGGCGTCCCCTCCCAGTTTAAGCTGTTAGGGTCCACACCGGCCACTTATAGGCATATCTAGGAGGTCGAAAGCATAGAGACATTTTACAAGAAGAATTTAGTTGTGCCTTTTGCGTTTTTTG